ATAAGAGAATGGCTCTGCTCCCTTCACAGACCTGTGTGATGTTTGTCAAGTGACTATACATTTCTGAGCCTCAATTCTTTGATCTATAAAAAGAGAAAAATAGTGCCACACAAGATTGTTGTAAGGATTAAGTGAGGTGATCTATACAAAATGCTTAACACATCTAGTAAATACTTAGTGACAAACAGCCACTATTATTATAGTATGAATCATTACTTCAGAATAAATTACACTTATAATTATTATTTTATAATAAAAGTTAAATAAATGGAGAAGACTTCAAATTGGGCAATGGCTCCCGGAAGAGCTTTCATTTAAAACATGAGGAAAATCATTTTAATCTGTGTTGCTCCTAAGGGCAGATTTCAAAAGAACAGCTAACAGAGCTGTACAACAGAATCAGCCATATCAAAAACTACTGTTCCCTCTCAGCGGAGGAGCCCAGGCACTGGGAGATGACCATTCGTCAGGAGTGCTGATGAAAGGAATCTGCCTTTTGATTAAAAGTGAACGAGTCTTTAAAATTTGTCCAGTATTTCTTTACATCAAAAAAAATACTTTGGTTTTTCCTCCTGACGTTTATAAAACTTTAAACCACCTTTTTACTTTTCCAACTGTCATCTATAATATGGTTGATCAAATTTAACGTAGGATAAAGTACTATGATGGGCAGAACAACGGCCACTCAAAGATGTCCACATCCTGATCCCCAGAAGCCATGGACAGCTACCCTGCACGGTGAGAAAGGGTTCTACAGATCTGATTAAGTTAAGGGCTTGAGATGGGGAGATTATCCTCCATGATCTGGGTGGGCCCAGTGTAATCACAACAGTCCTTATAAGAGAAGGGGGGGTGCAGGAAAGGGAGAGGACCTGTGATAATGGAAGCAGTGGGGAGAGGGAGACAGGGGGAGAGGGAGGAAAAAGGAGACAGGGAGAGAGGGAGGGAGAGAGATACTGAGGCTTGAAGATGCTGTGTTTCTGGCTTTGAAGATAGAGGAGCCACAAACCAAAGAAAGCAGGCAGCCTAGAGAGGCCAGAAGAGGGAAGGCGACATTCTCCACAGAGCCTCCAGAAGCAACGCGGCCCTTCTAACACCTGATTTAGGCTTCTGATCTCCAGAACTGTAAGATCATAAATGTGTGTTTTACTCAGCAATTTCACCACTAGTTACATACCCCAAAAAACTGAAATGAAGAACTCTAAGATACTGTATGCCAATGTTCATTGCAGCAATTTCACAATAGCTATAAGGTAGAAATAACCTAAGTGTCCATCAACAGATGAACGGATAAACAAAATGTGGTATTTACACACAGTAGGGTATCAGTTTGTACACACTATAACATAAGTGAACCCTAAACATATTATGCTAAGTGAAATAATTCCGACACAAAACGACAAGTATTGTATGATGCCACTCCTATGAAATCTCTAGAACAGGCAAGTTCATTGAGACAGGAAGTAGGTTAGAGGTCACAGAGGGCTGGGAGGGGGAAGAAATGGAATTGCTGCTCCTCCAGGGGCAGCATCCTTGTCCAAAGGACGGTTATGAGAAACATCATTACTAGTCCCTCTTACGCAGGTGGAGTTTTTTTTTTTTGTACAGGTGGAGTTTTTGTTGAGAGGATATTATTTTGGCAAAATCATCCAAGCTTTCATTCTCTTCATTCCTGAACTTGGGCTGCCTGAGCTACTCCATGAAGGTCATGCAACCTTGTTGGCTAGGTAAGCTACGTATTCCTTTCCTTAAACTGGGGCCTGACACCCAGGAGGCCATTAATCCTTTATCTATTTCTTTTAATGAATTCCTTTAACGCAACTATGTGAAAACTCATTCACTCTAGTCAAACCCTCCAATCCACTTCATTCGCTCTTTGAGGCAGTGTGAGGTCATGAAAGGCTCGCGGTCTTTGCAATCACAAATTACTAAACAGTTCTGACTTTATCTCCCTTATCTGTAAAAGCAGAGTACCAATACTTACCTTCCAGTTTTAACAGTTATGATATGAAGTATATGTAATAAAGTGGGCAGCCATGCACATTAGCAGGAATTCAACAAATGGTGAGGGCTGCCATGTCGTCACTGCCGTGCCTGCCTGCCGCTCCGAGGACCACCTCGACCACTTGACTGAGGAACGGGACATGTGAAGCCCCCTAATGTGACAGTCCTCACTGTCCATCCTTCTCCCTCCCACCTCAATTTTCTGTCACCGTTAGTCTTCCCTTCTCCTCCCCAATTTTAGAAAAAGGGGTCTATCTTTGTCCATCTCAAAGTTAACCTCCGTAGTATACCACTGACCCCAGCCCTTCTCAATTGCTTTTCTTTCTTCAATTTCTTTCTCTCTGGTGGTTCCTCCCACTTGGTCTATACACATAGTCGGTCAAATTTCCTCAAAGAAACACAATTATGGCCCTTGCCTATTCCTCCTTTTGAATTACTGCTTTCTACCTTGAATCCATCATCTGTATATGGGTCTTATCTCTTAACAGATTGCTCTCTTCAGAGACTAGGGGTGTCTCATTATTCGCACTAGCGTTTGCTAATAACACCAAGTGCAGTATTTTCCATACGGGTCAAGCACTTACAGAATAAGTAAATTAACAAACCTAAACTATAGATTTTCTGTGAACATATAAGGGCTATTTGACAAAAGTATATTGTCAATCTTAGCTGCTCAACTTAAATCACTCTGGCAGGAGAAAGGTAAAGAAGTAAGATAACACGATCTTAATTTCATATCATTCTCCTTAATACACTGTTGACTGGCGACACAGATTTGTATCTATATATTTAAATGCTCCATCCTCAATGTGTTAAAATATCACAAATCAAAATTATTTTTTCTAGAAATGTTTAAAATTTAGTAATCTGCACCAAAGTATTCCTATATTCATTACAACAAAACAATCTGCAGTTTTGTTAATATGTTTAAATACAAATCAATTTGTAACCATGTAATTATCTGAATCAACTGTAATTTTATACCTAATATATCGAATATGGTTATTTAATATAGAAGCTGGATCTCGGATGTATTTTTGGTGTTCCTAAGCTAATAAGCTGCCATCAGTGGGAGATGCGAAGAACAGCTGACAAATCCACATCCAAGGTTTCAGTTCTTCTCAAGCGAATGGGAAGGTCCACACCACGGGAGGGATCAGGAATTTCACAAAGGCGACAAACTACAGCTGACAGACAGGAAGTGTCGCTTTGCTCCAGAGCTAGGTGGCTCACCATCTCACATTTGCTCCAGCTTCTATATATTACTGCATTGGCAGTAACTCTTGTGAAAAAGCAGTAACATTTTTCTCTATTTGTCGGGCAAAGAAAATCAACCGCTACTGCTGGTGATGGAAGCAAAGGAGTCTAAGAAAGCGCCAGTTCTTAGCCACAAAGTCAGAGTCTGAGAGACATTAAACAGTAAAATATCAAGGTGACAAAGCCCAGCTCTGTGGTGGGAATGAACCCGCCACGCAAGCCACATTAAAACAGAAACTTCTGTGACAGTGGTGGAGTTCCAAGGAGTCCGACGGAGTGGACGTCGGCATTCTCCGGTGGTTCTGTGTTCCTCTTCCCTTAGAAATGCAGGCCTCTCCTGGGGAGGCGTTCCTTAGGGGGGTGTCCTGCTCACTCTCCCCAAGCATCTGAATGGGATCGACTGCCCTGTTTCACTCTGTAAACAAGTCCCACACCTAAGCTGGGTGACCAGGGCACCTGCACTGGCAGAGATCAGCCAATGAAAGATAGGGCCCAAACAGGGAACAGACAAACAACAGGAAGGAGACTGCTGCCGACAGTTCCTACAACAGAATCTGCACGGCTGGCCCTCCAGAGCCACGCTAAATACAACAGGGAGCCCAACAGCTCGGCCTCACACTGAGGGGCAGCTGTGTGTCAGAGATGAAAAGTTAACGACGGGCTGCAGGTACAGAACAGTTCAGAAGGAAGCTTACGTAGGCAAAAAGCTGCTCTGTTGGGTCAACTCTTCTGCTTCACCTGAAAAGCTTGTGTGGTCAGAGGGGTGGAAAACAGAGTTTCCAGGAGGGGCTCTCATTCTTAGCCTCCTCCGTCGTCAGGCACTTCCTAAACGACAGGTCAAGGCGCAGTGCTCTCTGCTCATGCAGCTTGACAAGCCCATTTACTTTAGAAACTGTTCCCATCTGTGTATTCCTGCCCAGGACTCCATGAATGTGGTCGAGCAGTTTAACTTCTGCCTTTCCCGGAAACGGGGGAAACCCCTGTGCCATCTCAGCAGGCGATAAAGACACGAGTCAAATGTCTTCTGAGTCACGTACCGAGTGTGGGCTGTGGACAATCCACCTTTTCTGGACTTACCTTTCCTCTCATGGGGCCATACTTTTCTCACTGATATACTGTCTCCTGATAAAGGGTTTAATCAAGTGTAAGTTTAAAAAGTTACCAAGTAAAAGGGTGTATTAGAAATAGGGGTGTTTTGACCTGTCTACAGACACTATCATAACTTCAAAATACATACTTTATGTTGAATGCGGGGTGAGTAAGAGTTCTGTTCTGTTAACACCTGTACCAAGAGCATCTGTTTACTGAACGGGCAGAGCGTAGCCTGCACTGTACTTAACACTCCTCCGCTAACGCTCCCCGTGACCTATGACATAAGTTACCCCATTTTATAGGTGAGTACATGAAGTCTTAAAAAGAGTGGGGGCCTGCCTGACGTTACACAGCCAGTAAGTGGCAAATCCATAATTCACGCCCACGACTCTGGGACCCACAGCACTGCTCTCTCAGCTCCTCTGCAGTTTCTCTGCCAGAGGGCAGCACAACGACAAGTGACCTGCAGAAGTTAGATCTTCAGCAAACACACCCCAATTCCTCCAGGTGCTAAACTGTATTTGACAACGCAATACTCAAATTGGTCTTTATTTGCCAAATATGAGTCACAGTTAAATGGCAAGGCTCTTCCTTGAGCTGTATTGAAGCGAATTAAAAAGCTGGGTCTCAGAAGGCATTCCTCTTACCTGCGCTGCCATCTCCACTCTCCATAGACGATTTACTGGTTTCTGACGGATTGTTCATTCTTGAGTCTGCAATAAACCAGAAGTGGAAAAGGTTTTGAAAAAATTGGGGATGTGGTCAGGGAGGCACAATTGTGGCACAGGAAAGGGGTAAGAATACTGACTAGTGTCCCACAGTCTGAGGATGTAGCATAAACGCTAAAACACTGGAAATTGCAGTAAAGTTTATGAAAGAAACTGAAGGTTCCCTTAACCCTGACAGGATCCACAAATAGTCTTTCTAAAGAATTTTTAAATTCTTCCAAGAACAATAACATAAATGTAACCTAAAAAAATTATAATATATTGGGTTGTCGGAAAAGTCATGACACATTTTTGCAATGAAAAACATGAAAAAAATACGCCATGACTTTTCCAGCAACCCAATAGAGTGATGTGTAAAAGGAGTAAATGCTTTATAATGTGAAGCATGAAATATACTAAAGAAAACAAAGCTGGGAGGAAGCACCTCACAAAGTAAATAAAGAATGTTATTCTCAAATAGTTTCTTTTCTTATAAGCAAAGATATTTGTGACTTATGACTGAAACAATCCACTGCTAATCTTGCTAACAGACTGGACAGTTACTCAACCTAACAAAATAAAAGAAAGCATAGCTAAGGAAAATATCTCCATGCTTACTCCTCCCCCACAGCAAACTAAATGTGTGTCAAAGTAAGAAGCCAGTTAGAGAAATTGTACCACATCGCATGAGAGCTACATCTAACAATTTCAAGAGCGAATCACAATGACGCCCACTTAAAAACTATACGACCTGATATCCCAAACGAACCTGCTGCTGTGGGTTTATATCTTTTAGGGTTGTCTGCTTAATGGAGGTTTTCACAGGAAAACCTTTTCATCAAGCATATCAGGTATCTCAGGAGATAAGTAAGAGAACAGACAAGAGCAAGTCTGCTTTTTTCCTACCTCTTTAAGGGTAAAAATTAAATTTACATTAAATATTTATCTTCTTTTACTTCTACTGCAAACTCAAATTTAGCATATCTATAAAACAAACAAATTTATTATCAAGCAAGTTCTGCCCTGTTAAGAACCATTGAACTACTGGTTAAATGGTTAGCAAAGAATAAATACTTGAACCGTATTATATTTGATCTTTGACCAAAGAGCATATTTTGTCATTCGTTGAAATAGGATATCAAAACGATCACTAGGAGTCCCGACCATGTTGTCACAGTGGCATCATCCTCACGCCCAAGGGAGGAGAAACTGTCAGGAGTCCTTGTCCCATGGATCTCCCTTCCCACCCGGAAGTGTGGGGACAGCTGTTCTAACACAGTGTTGTAAAGGGACGCCCGTCTTATGTACTTATGCAGTTCCATCCCATCTTTGGTTTGTTCTTCAGATGCTTAAAGGGTTCAAATTCTACGTCTCTTGTCATAAATGAGGGTAGTTCTACCACGTCCTTCCACACACAGTCCAGAAAAATTTAAATATCATCTGAAAGCATAGTAAGGTTTCAAAGGAACAGGTGTACAACTGAGTGAGAATCAGCTTTCTGAATGACTTAACCAAAATCTTATGAAAGTCAACAAAGATGACAACAGGTGTAACAGAACAAACCATTAAGCACACACAGCTCAACGCTTCTCTTAAAATGTGTTTTAAAAGAAAGTGGGGAAAATAATGAACCAGTTAACATTCATAAAAAGTGATAATTTTCCACATATCATAAAAACAAAGTAGGTATAATTCTTACCGAGTCAATTCTTACCTTGTACAATTCATATCCTAATTTCCACATCCATAAATTAAAGATTTTCTACTGAATTGTCAAGAGCTTCAAAGACATTTACAAAATTACTTCACATACAAAATAATAAAAATAAAACAAGATTCTGATTAACTGTACAACTATGAGAAGACTGTTTAAATACTATTAGCTGAAAAAATAGATATAATTTCTAACTCTAAAATATAATGCTAAGAATATTTCAAAAAGGTATTTTCCTTTCCTTTCTTGAGTTCCCATCTTATTAAGAGTAACTATAAGTAATTTCCTTTTTGGAATTTGAAGTGTTTCCTCTCTGAGCACCTTGACCTAAGTGTATATGATGAGTCTGAGTTGCCCTTGACATTAGTTTGCTGTTCAGTCATCTGCCCTTTCACGTGTGGCTATTACCATGCTGTGCAGACATCATTACCACCTTGGGGTCAGGCCATGCCTTCTGCCCACGAATTCAAACATTTTCATAACTATCATTTTACTCTGGCCTTGGCAACTGTGAAGGTGATGGGGCAGTCACAATTTTCCAAATGGGAGAAATGATTTACAGGGAAAATATCATTTGCAAAGGTTTGTAAGATGTCAAAGTCCTAGAGGTCACAGCATCTGACCCTCCAGGTTGACCAGAGTAACCTAAAGAGGCTTCAACAACTCTGCATACAAATAGAGAAAACTCAACACAAAATATGGCCCCCATGAGCCATCATATGTCTACACTCTAAGGTGCCTCAATCTGTTTTAAATCTTAGTCACTAAAGACAGTTCATATATTCAAGGCAGACAGCCCCCTCCCTAAAAGGCTTGTTGTTCTATAGGAAAAACTATAAAAATTGGCTTTCCAGCACTTAAAATTATTTTCTGAAAAAGTTAATTTTTAAAAATAAAAAAGGCTAACATTAGCCAAAATTTGAACAGAGTTAATAGTTCCTAAAACCTGGGAATTGATCACCAGCTCGACTGCAGGAGCACTGCAATTACCCCGCACTGGTACTTATGGGAGCAATTCTGCACTACGGCTCCACCTTATTTTTCACCAAGTACTTCTGGGTTTTATATAAGACCTTTGAATTGAGTATGCAAAACATTTTTATTAATATGCACATATTATTTAGGTACTTTGTAGACCTTGTTTCAGATTTAGTGTTTTTAGAATGCCATGAAATGCTCACAATAGAAATTTCCAAAAAGCAAACATGTCCTCCATTCAAGCTGAGCTGTAAATTCACACTATTTCCTGAAAAAACCCTCTGAACCAGAAGAGCTAGTAGTGGCAGGGAGGGACCTACTGCAAATGCAAGTATGCCTGTGCTCTGCAAACGCTTTGCCCCTTCCCTCCCTGTGCCATCCACTGCTCCCCCTGCCCCAAGCTGGATGCATATGCGATTAAGCATTTATGCGTGGTCAACCCCCCCCCCAACACTATTTCCATATTAAAGCGCATAAGAAAGAACTGTGCTGGTACCCACCTAGAACATAGTCACTGCAGTCCAGCATTGCTGTGAAATCTTCTAGAGGCTCAGACAGTCCAAAGCAAGGAAGAAACAGGTAGCGGTTTGGGGCGGGGGACAGGAGGTACTACTATTTCTAACAAATCTAAGAGAACAAGGGTGGGAGGTGGAAAGTGGATTAGGGGGAGAAGCAAAATACAACTTCAGTTACACCATAGCAATCTTCAAATGAATAAGGAAACTTCAGTTGCTCAGAGGAGTTTTAGTCTCTGCTACCAGCTAGGACTGACATTGTCAAGGCAACTGAAGCATGAAAAGTTCCCCTTTTTGTAATAAAATAGAAACAAAGATTGCAGCTGGCAGTTTCCATAATGAAGCTTAATCAGTATGCGCGTGATTAGGGCCTTATGCAAATCTCTCCTCGTTAGCACAGCAGCCAGCACTTTGAAGTCCACGAACAATTCATTTACAGAATACACTGAGAGCACTCCCTGCATAATTTAAATCATTGCATAAATATTTATCAGTCCATTTGCATATTAATTGGCAGTGCATGAAGGGAAAAATTATCTCCTGAGTGCCAGCATAATAATTAGGAGGATAAAATGAGATTTCTTCCAATGGCCTGGCTTCTCGGACCTAACTTGAGATAGTGCCGGGGGAGAAGGGAGGGACAGGAGACCGAGTTCTGTTAAAATGCCACTGAAATGACACATACAAATCAGAAACAACTCTACAGACTTAAGCACGTTTAATCTCATTCCTGCTGGCAACAATGACTTCAGTAATAAAAGGATTTGCCAAAACCCTTTCTACACAATCCAAATAATCCCAAGGAAACAATTAGCAAGGTAGAAGAGAAGCCCAGAGCTGTGGCGATGTTGCTAGCCCAGCGAGGGGAATTTTCCCAGCGTGAACACAGGCGTCAGGGCAAGTCCTGCTTCCACACAGGCAGCCGTGTAACCCAGAGCACGCAGGGGCTATCCAATGGTCTTCAAGGGCAGGCAAAGCCCTGTGCACAGTTCTTTTCACACTACCAAGTTCACGGACTAGATCAGTCAATGTCACATATTATGTGGTATCCTTCCCTCGTCAAACTCAATCTGAAGTAGAAGATGGTTTGTCACAACATCATCATCAGGAAATGAGCCATGTAAATTGTGGAACTACTCAGTATTTTAAGTAAATTTTACATTATTAATGGATATGAATATGTGTGCATAAAATCCTTATTAAACAATACAGTTAGTCAATTTAAAGTGAGCTTACAAGGTCAAACATTAGCCCCAAACATTTAGGTATTACAAGATGACAATATTCCATTCTAATCATTATAGACAATTCACAGGATTTATAAAAACCACATGACGGGCCGGCTGAGTGGCACGATGGTTGAGAGCTGGCTTGGGAGGCCAGAGGGATCCGGTTCGGATCCCACATATGAGGGCCAGTGACACTGCCCTCTACAGCTAAGATGCTGAACAACAGCTCGACCTGGAGCTGGGCTGCCCTGAGTCGCCGGCGACGGCGTAGGTTGCAGCCCTTGCTGCAGTGGGTTGCCATGGGCTGCCGTGTGTAGCCAGCAGCCAGTGTGAGCGGCCAGCAGCCGCAGTGAGCGGCAGTCCAGAAGCCGGCGACTGATCTGCCTCACCCGGGAAGAGCGCAATGATGGTGCCAACTTGGGCCAGTGAAGCAACGTCCTCCACCACTAGACTGAAGAACAAAACGACAGCAACTTTTCTGTTTCCCTTCCCCCAATTCCCCAGCACTGTTCCCATCCTCCCAATTCCCCAATAAAAATCTTTTTAAAAAAACCACATGAAGTACGCATTACCCTTTTTGAAAAATAAGGAAACAGAGGCGCAGAGAGCTAAAGCACTGAACCCACTGTCACACTAATCATGATTAGTGGGGTCAGGATTTAAAGCCAGGTTCTGCTGACATGGAAACCTGAGCTCTTGGCTGTTACACATCATGGGCAAGCTGGACCTGTAGGAAACTGGTTGGGCATTGGGGGCTTGGCTGAAGCAGTGGCCTGAAATAGCTTGTCTTCAGCATGGGGAGGAGAACAGTAATTGGCGACAAAGATTCAGTGTTTAAAAGTCAAGTGTGCACACACATGGAAGAGGGCACCTCCCCTCACTAACCGCTCTCACCGCGCACCAGTCTTCGAGCATGCCAAGTGTCGGATTTTTTAAAATATGTAACTTTTGCCAACACTAAGGTTCAAATGAAACTCAATATGCCTTAGGAGGAAATGAAAGACGATTTTTATGAAGAACCTTAAACAGATTTCCTTGCAAGTGAATAACGGCTAGGAAGAGAATCAAAACCCTCTAACTTTTCGATCAGCTCTCTATGTACACGGCTGGTTTTTCTATGTTGTAGAGAATCACAAAGTGCATATGAGGAGAGGGCCTGGGGGAGAACGCGAGCGCTGCCGTTCAGTGCCTGTGCCACTCAGGCTCCTTCGCTCTTTGAACCTTCTTTTGCTCATCTTCAACATGACACTGCCTTCAGGAGGTGGCTGTCAGGAAAAGTACACTCCCCTGACAGTCCTCTCAGGCTATCGGGAGCTGGAGCAGGTGGCAGCTGTGCCAGGGGAGGCACGACACAGGATCGACATCAGTTAAATTCAATCATAATTCGTAACTGTATCAAAACAAGCAAGACTATATACTAGAACAGGATACCAAATTCAAAGGACTGTACAAGTTCTGATTGGTGGGAGAAGATGAGAAGCAACGATGAATATGACCGGAATATAACAGATGTCAATGGGGGTTTCTCTCCCTCCTCTTCTGCCGTCATACCATGTTCCGTTTATTATATTACAGCACTTACAGGACACCTCTGCAGCTCACCACTACCCTTTCTGCCCTGCGCAGTAATCCCTCTAAACTACTTTCCTTAGGCCAATCTGGTCCTTCATACATCAGCTCAGGTGCTCTGGAGCTACAGCCATACAATCATTGCCAACTGAGATGTCTGCTGGAACGTACCTCTCAGGGCAGGACCTTGTACTGCAGTCCTCTCCCCCTCAGGCGCAGGGTCACAGGGGCGTGGGGGTGGTGGGGGTGGGGTGGGGGTCTGCACAGCAGGGGGCCCGTCACTCACCATCTCACACAGGCCACTGTCCAGAGAAGGACCCCTCCCCCTTCTACTGAAAATTCACCATCTTCACTCCAGGGAGGGGAAGAGAGAGGGGCCAAGGGAGGAGCCCTGAGAGGGAGCTATCCAAGGTGCCAGGAAGCCTCACCTTGTACAACGGGAAGGACAAGAAAACTCCCTTTTTGGCCACTCCCGCTCTAGGTACTCTGCCCATTCTAGAGGGCCGATCAAATACCGCGAGGTTGTCCTGGCCTCTACGGACCCAGTGAGGGAGGGATGGCTGCCTTCTCTGGCCTGCACGCCCCCAGCAGGGCACAGTGGGATCTCAAACAAGGGAACAGGCAGCTTTCCTCAGTCTTAAATGTTCACTACATTCAGTCCTGTCTGAAATATCAGAGTAAAACATAAAAAGAGCACCCTTTAAAAAACATTTCTGGGAGGACTTCAGGACAAATCAATCCAATTTAATTGCTTTCATTTTACATCTAGTTTAGGAGTTGACATGTGATGGAATGGTGGTTTCCATTGGAAAGAGGGCAATAAATACTCCTATAATCTTATTTCGTAAAAAGTAAACCGAGGCCTAGATAATGCCTCGTAGGTCATTTAGCTATTAAGTGGCAGAGAAAGGGTGTGATGGGGACAGAGATGAAACAAGGAGGCATGAGTGGAAAGTAAGTAAAATAAAATATGCCAAAACTCTTACTCCATCACACTGAGATCTGTAGTTGGATGGTCAATCAGAAAGGTCAACTTGAAATAAATACCGTAAAATCATTATGCACACATCTTACACATCCCGTTTTAATGCAAAGCACATAAATAAACATTCATTTACCAATCTTTTGATGTTGGACCAAAGCCTTTTCTTTCAGTTTGTACCCACTAATTGAGTTTCCTCTTATTCCTTGGATAAATACCCTTAACATATACTTAGCTAATATTTCTAGTGTCAATTTCTTTAGTTTTTTTGCTTTTCGAGCTTTTCTCATTTTCACATTGTACCTAATATGTATAGAATAGATATGAAAAACTCAAGAAAAGTTTCAGGAAACACCGATTCTTCCTAGGTTAACGCACTCTAATACATGTCTTTTTTTTAATTGCTGATTTCAACCCACTAAATTTACTTCTTGAGCCAGAGACTGAAAAACTGCTTTAAAACTAAGGCAAGAACTTAAAAGACATGTCAAGCAATCTGGATGCAGAATCTTTTTCTTTTAGAACAATTTACCCCTAATATTTTATGGCTCTTTTGTTCAACTCTTATTCAACACTATTTTTAGTAATTACCCTTTATGAAATCTTTTCAAAGGTTCAAGGTAAGTTTACACAAAACATCATGTTTCTTTTCCTGCCCTTCTCCTTCGTTTATGTAATAATTATATAAATTGCATAATTAAAATGTGTAATTAAAATAAGTAGTGCTGCCAGCAAGAACAGTCTTGGGAGCTCAAACAAGTAAATGGCTCTTGGTAACCACAGCCCACCGGCTGGGGCAGACGTGCAGATGTATGAGGAACAAGCACGCAGTGAACCCCAGGGCAGGACGAGGGCTTCCAGCAGGAGCCCTGGGGACAGTAGTCAGCCGACTGGGTCATCTCTGCTTTGCAGAGAAAGCCGCCACACCTGAAGGCACCTAGCATCACATGGCGCCTGCTCGGGTCTCCTCTTTGATTTGTGCTATCTGGTATTTCTACAGCCATGTACACAGCTCATGGGCTCAGTCTAACACTCTGGGTCCGTTAGTAAACATATCTTCTTTACAAAACCCAATCCTGACATCTCTTAGTGGTGAAAGCTTCAGTCTCGTGTGGCTCTGCTCAAGTTTTACCAATACACTGAACTGTCTGTCTAGCGAACTGCTCATCCTGTATCTTCATCTCTGTAACTGTCTCTTTTCATTCTAGTTGAGAGTTTTGCGAAGTCATTGGTTTCATGCATTTACACACTCAACAAGTGTTCACTGAGTGCTGCCAGGGCGGGGACAGAAATGGGGACACGACTGCTGAGCGACAGAATGCTTACAGCTGA